AGAGCAGGAATTGGGCAATTTTTAGGAATCTAATTATAAAGCCATTATTATTATAGACAGAGGATTACAGACAGTGCTGATAACTCTGCTTGGAGACTTGAGCCTCCGCAGGGCTCAGGCCTACCCCCTTCTCAGTTCACAGGAAATGAAAGTTCCCCGTAAACCACTGGACTTTCTTGAGCATGGATATGACTAAAGATCCCACTAATGGATCTAGTGACTCTTTCACTGAATTAATGGAGTCAACCACATGACAGTCAGATCATTAAGGCCTAGGAGCCTCTCTATCCCTCTACTTCAGAGGCTTCACACCTTTTCAGTGGAGCACGTTTATCAGTATAAAAAAACTTTGAGCACTCCCCCCTCAAAATATATGGGTATGTATATGCTTATAAATTACATAGCACCAATATATAACATAGTGCTATATACTAATTACCAAGTATGAATGAATTACAAGCATTATAAATACACACACACACACACACACACACACACACACACACACACACACACATACACAAAATTTTCCAAGGTGATACTTTAGCCCATCCATGCTGCTGTAATAGATTATCATAGACTGGGTGAACAACAGAAATCTATAAACAAAAGAAATTTATTTCTCACTGTTCTGGAGGCTAGAAAGTTCAAGATCAAAGGACCAGCAGATGTGGGGTCTGGTGAGGTCCTCATAGATGGCCGTGTTCTCACTATAACCTCACAGGAACAAAGAAGCAAGGAACTGGGGCACCTGGGTGGCTCAGTTGGTTAAACATCTGACTTTGGCTCAGGTCATGATCTCACGGTTCATGAGTTCAAGCCCCGCATCCAGCTCTGTGCTGACAGCTCAGAGCCTGGAGCCTGCTTCAGATTCTGCGTCTCTTTCTCTCTGCCCCTTCTCCACTTGTACTCTGTCTCTCTCCCAAAAATAAATAAACATTAAAAAAAGAATTTTTTTTAAAGAAGTAAGGAATCTGTGTGGGGTCTTTCTTACAAAGACACTGCCCCCACTCATGAGGGTTCTGACCTTACGACCTTATCATCTCCCAAAGATCACATCTCTACCACCATCACCTTGGGGGCTATACTTTAACATATGAATTCTAGAGAGGAACCCACATCCAGCCTCTAGCAGAAGATATAAAAACATCTCTAGGACCAATTATGTTCTTCTTTGGCCCTGATAGACCTCACAGGAGCCAGTTAGAGGCAACGGTTCAAACTTCCTGGAGAACTTGTTTTTCAAATGAAAGTTCTCCAGGCCTCAGCCCTAGAAGCTTTAATTGGATTGTTCTTAGGGTTGGCCCCAAACCCATCCACTCCCTGAGCTCTCAGGCTGACTCTGACTCCAGTGCTCAAAGAGACTTCAAAACCCCTGGTCCAGACCCTCTATTTGGCTACCTTTTTCATTTTATCCCTATGGCCCTACTGTTAGCTACCTCCTACCTCCTGGAGACCCTCTTGATTCCCTACATAAATTAAAAACAATTAAACAATAATAATAGCTGCCATTTAGTATTTCCTGCTTGCCAGGATTGCTCTACCTCTTTCCATTACTCCCTGTAATCTGACCAGGTAGACACCAGTAGTCCCAGTACAGATGAAAGAAAAAAACTAAAGCTCAGAGCATTCATGTCTTGCCCCAGGTCACCCAGTTAGTAAGTGACAGTCCAGGCATTTGAACCGAGATCTGTCTGATTCCAAAGCCTGGACTTTTGACCACTGAGTATGCTGCCTCCAAAACAGTCACTACATTTCCTGAACCTCTACTATGAACCAGGCACTCGGCTGGACGTAACTGCTTTTGTACCGAGATGATTCTCAGTCCACAAATTCTGATGTATAAGAAATGTCTTTATTCTCTGTAAGCCATCTGAATTACGGACTCCAAACTCCTATTTTTCAAGCCCTCCCTGATTTCCTCTTTCCTCCCCAGCCCCACCCCCATTGTGTCACAGTTCCTATTCAGACACAGCAATACCTAGGCCTGGGGGTGGGCGTGGCACCTGGTTCTCTGTTATTCATCCCCCCCCCAGGTGGCCACTGAGGGGCCTGTCCTCCCTGTCTTCCATGACCTCTTAGCAATGAAGGCTCAATGCTGTCCTACCTCACACCAGGCACAGGGGGCATCTTTTTACCCATCTGCCAGCACCACATAGGTGACTCCTCCGTGGGTTCTTACCAGCTTCCAGCAGGGTCTCTGTGAAGCCAGGGACGGTCTCCTCTGCCCTCAGACCTATGATCTTTTCATCTCCACTGGCTTGCAAAGCCCAAGAGACTCTCTCTGGTAATGAGAAGGTGGGGGGTGCTCCTGCTCCCTTTAAAACATGTTTACCCTTGGGGTGCCTGGGTGGCTCAATCAGTTAAGCAAATGACTCTTGATTATGGCTCAAGTCGTGATCTCACCGTAATGAGATTGAGCCCCATGCTGGGCTCCACACTGGGCATGGAGCCTGCTTGGGATATTCTCTCTCTCTCTCTCTCTCTCTCTCTCGGGATATTCTCTCTCTCTCTCTCTCTCTCTCTCTCTCTGTCCCTTCTCCACTCATGCCCGTGCTCTCTTTCTCTTTTTCTCAAAATAAATAAATAAATATAAAACCAAAGCAAAACATGTTTACCTCTTTGCTTATCTTTCTTGGTTATAATTCGCTTGTCCTAGGTCCTAAGTTTGGGGAAGACAAAGGATTTGTAGAATTCTCTCTACTTTGTCCTTCTTAGAAGTGGAAAGGGGAATGGAGTGGGGGAGGGGAGATGTTGGGAGAAAAATAATATGAAGTTAGTATTTCAAAGTATTATCTCAGGCTCATACTATCCCAGTTTATAGGTGAGGAGATCATTAAGGTTAAGTAACATTTTGCTCGGCTAGTAGATAGTAGGCCCAGCATCCTCAGGCTCTGGCAACCTCATTCTCTGTGAAGCCCTCCCCTCTTCCCTGCCAGGAGTCTCCCTGGCCAGCTCTGAGGAAACACAACAGAGCTTGCACATTAAAACCACCAGAGGAGGGTGATGGGGCAAAGACAGGCAGGCGGAGCATGGGCAGACAGGAAGCAGACATCTCTCATCCTATCCCAGCCCGGGAAAGCCTCGCAAAATGAGTTGGCATATGATGATAGTAGAGAAAGTTTTTGGTGAAGCAGAGACTTACAACAGCTAGAACTTTGAAGCCTTCTTCCCGTGTAGAAAGTGGTAAGAGGGTGTACTCTGGAGAAATTTGGGAAGGAAGGGTCTTGGTATTCCGAAGCCACTTGGATTCACTGGTATCTTGATGGGTTAATTTGCAGAGCAGATGCCCAACTTATCTAACCGCCTACTCAGCATTTCCAGCTGAATGTCTGAGAGGCATCTCAGACTCCACAGGGCCAAAGCTGATCGCCTAATCTTGCTCCACCAAACCTGTTCCACTCACAGCCTTCCCCACCTCGGCTGATATCAACCCCATTGTGCACTTGCCCGATCCAAAGTCCTTGAAGTCATCCTCAGTGCCTCTCTTTGCCTTGTAGCTCACATTCCAGTAGTCAGGAAACTCTGTTGCACCCATCTTCCAAATATACCCAACACCCATCCACCACTCCTCAATTCCACTGTTACCCATGCTGAACCAAGCTACCATCACTTCTCACTGGATCACTGCAATCGTCTCCTCACACATGTCCCCCGCTTGCACCTTGCTCATTTATAATCTGTTCTTGGCCTTGCAAACCAGAATGATCTTTTAGAAATGTAATACAAATCATGTCACTCTTCTCAGTATGATTTCCTGTCTCTCAGATCATAAAAGTCAACATCTTTACAATGGTATCTCCTTGCTCATTGGCTTCTTTGTTATTCCAGGAACAGATCAGGCATGTTCCTACCTCAGGACCTTTGCACTAGCTGCTCTGGCTATCTGAAGCTCTCTTTCCCAAGATGTCCACAGAGGCAACTCACTGAAATACTTGTTTAAAGTTCAACTTTCCAACAAGGCTCACCCTGACCATTCTATTTAAAATCACTACCTTCCCCCAGCCCCTAAATTCTGCTATACTTTCCTTTTTTCCATAGTTCTCATTGCACTCTACAGTCTACATAAATCTCTTATTATGTCTATTGTCTATCATCTGACTTCTCCTGCCTTCAATGGTATGTAAGCTTCACAAAGACTAAAATCTTGCTCTGTTTTGTTCACTTGTATGCCCCAAGTGCCTAAAACAGTGCCTGGCACATATTAGGTATGAAGGGGTAAAAAGCTGAACAAATGAACTTGAAATAAAACTAGAGACCCAAGGAATATCACAAGAGACTTACACAGTAGCATTTCCTCTGCCTGACTTCTCAGTCCTCTACATTAATTAGCACAGAAGAGTTTTTTCTAGGATCATCTCCCAATGGGGTCCCCAGCAAAGGCATCCATTCCTGAATCTTTGCCACTGCATCAGCTCCTTCTTACCCTGAGTTTAGAGCTTTTCTGCCCCCTTCAGCTATAGAAACATTATAGCTTTGACTTGAGGCACCAGCCATTCTGCTAAATTCCACAGGTAATGGACCCTCCGGCAGCTCTCCACCTGGCCAACCCCTTCCCTTTTTCTTTGTGCTTAGTCTGCAATTTGAAATACCACTTCCATGAACCAGCATCCCCTCTGTCTGAGGGAAAGCTAGGCCACTGTGTGGGAGCCACTGATCCCTGACTCTTGACAGAATTTCCCAACACAACACATTAACCTAAACTGATTAATTTGGAACTATGACCTTGGCCAAAGAAGATGAGAATACATGACAAGACATTTGATTTTCAAAATGTATCAGGATTTTTAAAAAGCTTCTGTAAATCAACTTTTTTGGTAAGAGATATAGATTTGGGCCTGTGCGGGGAGGGGGTAGCAAGAGAGGTGGACACTGGGTAACATGGTCAGATGTTAATTATTAATGAGCAGGCTTCCCTGACAAAGTATCAATAGGCAATCTGGTCTCTTTAACTTCAGAAATTAGCAAGAAGACCTCGGACCCCGGGTGAGACAAGAGAAATGGAAAGTCCCCTGTGTATCTCTGTTTTCTTGGTTTTGTGTGTCTTTATCCAATCAAGTGCCCATGGACAAAGCCTGGGACTAGGTAAGTGCCTGCCTTTTCTGCAGAAATGGGCATGGATTTTCTTTCTTAAATGTGTGTCACAAAGAATATTTGTGGGACAAATTTACTGAGTGTTCTTGATGGTGTGGGACAGAACTTGATTCTATTAGTGGCGTCACAGGTCACAGAGACATCGCTGTTCATGCAGGACTAGAATTTTAGGAGATCTGTCTGGGGGTAGAAGTCTAAAAGTACTTGTGGCTTGCACTGAATTCTCTCCTTCGTGTCTGATTCAGAACCCGTCATGTTAAGACTTGGGTGGAGAATGATCTCAGAGAGTTGGGGATCTTTCCGGAAGTTAATTTGGCATCTAATTTGTGGCTGGGGAGCACAGCCTGCAATGAAATGCTTCATTTTGCTGAGATTGACTGATTGCCAGCCAGCTCAGTGGAGAGAGATATTTGTAGAGTTCTGTTTCTGGTCAGGTCTAAAGAAGAGATCACGTTGCATATTTACTAGACTTCATGTTTTTCTGCCCAAGTTTTACTCTGAGACGGAGGAATCCAACGGCAGTCACACCTATTTGATTTATAAATTTATCAACTTGATTGATGGCCAAAGGCAGATCCAATTTCTTGACCAGGTAGGTGGATTCCAGGTTCCTGGCTAAACAGTGTATTGGATCAGTAAATGATGGATATGAAGTAAACTGAACAGGTTGGCCAAATTAGACAGGTATTTGGGATTTATGTGTGTGTGCTGGTTACTGGTCAGGAGCTAGTCACTCTAAGGAAGAGGCTTAGATTTTTCTTTCCTCAAAGACTATCTTTGGAAGGAGCTCCAAAAGCCCTGAGAAACAGGAATTTAGTAACTAAGAGTATACCTGAAAATTCTAGAATCTTTTGTTTCCCCTACAAGAAAAAAAGGCCATTGATTATTTTATTATTATTTTGTATCCTACATCAATACTTATTGGTAGCACCAATTATTACCATTTACTGAGAATTTTCTGTGCCAAGCACTATGCTGATTTTTTGCATGCATCATCTCAGGTGTAAAGCCATGTCCAAACGTGACAATAATGATATGGAGCCAGCCAGGCAGAATAGCTGATAATTTTCATTCTCTGGGTTGACAGGGATTTTGTTAAAGGGCCTGTCCTGATATTCTTCCCAGAATGTTGTTTTTGTTTATTTTCCATAGATCTAGAAAAGCATCTATATCATAACTACTCAATGATTTTTCATAGTCAGAACCTGCATCCCAGAAGTCTCCATTGTGTACCCTCCCCCGCCTTGAGCCTTAACAGAGAGTATTTTGTCTTTGGGAGAACTTTTCATTTACGGAACTATATAGCATGCTCACTTCTGCTTCTGGCTTTTTCCTCAACATTATCCTGGTGAGATTCATCTAGGGCACACATATGTGGTTGTGACTTGTTCATTCCTTTGGGTGAACATACTTCCCTTTGTTCTTCCACTGTGCTGTTATTGGCCCAGACTATTTAGCGGAGACCTGGAGGTTGGAAGCCATCAGTGCCAAGAAGGAGGCTGAAGGGCAGGATGGCCTCCCCCAGGTTGCTGGGCAACCAGATTTCCTTCAACAGCTCTTACGGTGCTCAGCTGCTGCTTTTCCCGGGGTCTGGTTTGTCCAAAAGCTGAGGGAAGCAGCCATGATTAGCAAGAGGGTTCTTTCGGGAAAGGGATCAGAGTCAGGAGGCCTCCTGTTCCTTTGAGAGCAGAAACTCTGGGCAAAATTCTTCCTGCAAAGAGTGAGCCAGCTCTTGTGTGGATGAGGCTGGTGTGCCGTCTTCCAAGGTATTGCAATAAAACTAAAGAAGTCAAGAAAATAGCGATTCCTGATTTTTGCAATCTTCCTGAGAATAATTTTGTCTTACAGAGAAGAGGCATATTAAAATGATCTGTTCTGGGTGTCAAATACATGAAGTATCCAAGTCTAATAAAGGAGATAGGATGTGTATGCAACATTTTCTCAGCGGGAACATGGAATATGCTGAGTACCACCAGAGAGGAGTACAGTGGATTGAATGCTTGTATCCCCCCATATTCGTGCTGAAATCCGAACCCCAATGTGATATATTATGTGCAGCCTTTGCTCATAAGGATGAGCCCTCTGAATAGGATTAGGACCCTTCAAAAAGGGATTCCAGAGAGCTTGTTCTTTTTCCAGCATATGAGGAAATCAGGAACCAGACTCTTGCCAGAACCTGGCTGTGCTGGCACCCAGATCTCATATACCTCCAGCCTCCTGAATTGTGGGAAATAAGTTTCTATTGGTTACAAGCTACCCAGTCTGTGATAGTTTGCTAGAGAAGCCCAAACTGGTGAAGACAAGGGGTGCGCAGAGGTGCAGAAGACGCACACTCCCACGTGTGGGGCTCAGGGAAGGCTCTGAGGAGACCTGCAGCATTTGAGAGGGTCTTGTGCAGGGTGGGGGGGAACCTGGACCAAAGAGAAGGAGGCTTTCCTTGTGCATGAGAAAAAGTACAGAGCCAGTAAAGTCCATGTGTTTTTCAAGCCCAAACACCTCCCCAAAACAGGCCCTGTGGGATGAAGAAAAGAAAAGCAAACTGTAGGTAGGAGTGGACAGCAGCATTGGGTCACAACTGCCACCGACTGGAAACAACCGGAATGCCTCACAATGTACTATCCAGCTAGCACTAAGTCGGTCTTTAAACAAGCCTTGTCTCAAATAACTAAAGTACTAAAAGTTCCAGAAACCTTTGGGGCTAATACAGATGGAATACACAAACAAAAGGCTTAATACTGGCCCTTGGGAGCTCATAATGCAACACCAGGGATATTAACCTGGTATATGAGAGTGGGTTTCTGTGAGTCTGGATGCCTCCTCAGATGGCACCCGAGGCCATGTGTATGTGTACTTTGGGTTGGGGAGAGAGGTCATATTTTGGCGGATTATCAAAGAGAGCTGTGACCTCCATAAAGTTAAATAGCAACTGGTCTTGAGGCTTTTAAAATTAAGTATGAGGAGAGGAACCTGGGTGGCTCAGTCCATTAAGCGTCGGACTCTTAGTTTCAGCTGAGGTCATCATCTCACCATTTTGTGAGTTCAAGCTATGCATCGGGCTCAGTGCTGACAATGCAGAGCCTGCTTGGGCTTCTCTGTTTCTCTCTCTTTCTCTGCCTCTCCCCCAGTCCCCACTCCTTGTCTCTCTCAAAATAAATAAATTTAAAAAAAATAAAAATTAAAAATAAGTACAAGTAAGTTCTATAAGCAATAAAGTGGAGAAAAAAACAGGACTGAATAACCTACTTATTGAATCGCAACTGTGAAAAAACTATGTATATGTATATCACCAGTGATTCGAAGTATATTTAAAGATATATTTAAAGGCCATAGAGTATGTGTGTTTTTTTTAAGTATTTATAAGTAAAAGAAAAAAAGAAAAGAAAAAAAATCCTGAGGGTGCCTGGGTGGCTCATTCAGTTGAGCGTCCAACTCTTGATTTCGGCTGAAGTCATGATCTCATGGTTCGTGTAACTGAGCCCCGCATCAGACTCTGTGCTGGTGGCTCACGGCCTGCTTGGGATTCTTTTTCTCTGTCCTCTGTGCTCATGCTCTCTCAAAATAAATAAATAAACATTTTTTTAAAGTCCTGATTAGCTGCAGTTAGATTGTCTTGGATTTGTTGTCCAAAGAGGGCCACTGGGAAAAGCCACACCTTGCACGATGCCTTCAGGCCTGCCACCTCCACTATCATACGCCCAGGCCCAGAATTCTTCCCCCAGCAGGATGTATGAATCCCTGATAGGCCTCGACAATGGCAGGGAAGGGCATTTGTGAGAAAAGTTTCCGGTGATACCCAGAGATGGAGCTCGTTCATTGGGAGTGTCCAGGGAGAGGAATCCACAGGCCAGCCCCCCTCATGCTAGTGAGACTCTATCTTCTCTCTGCTGAAGGGAAGATCCCATCCGCTGCCAGGCGCCCTGGCTCAGCCCCTCAAGCCCTCCTGAGGGCAAGACGCAGGAGAGGACAATCCTGAGGGAACCAGAAGGCAGCCTGTCTTCCATGCTGCTTGCCTTTCACATGGGACCCAGGGCTTGAGCCCTTATTCTTTAATTCTGGGTCAGGTGAATAGTACATTTTCAAAAAGAAACTGATTACTGAAGGAAGTGGCCTGGGAACAGACTCGGGCATGTGAATCACCAAGTGAGTAATCCAGCCAAAAGCCAACTGGCCAGTACAGAGATCCCTGTGGCAACCCCCTCCCACCTGTTTCGCCGCACCAGCTGCCATGGTACTGGGCCTCACAGGCAGGTCATCAGGGAGGGAAAAGGAGGGCAGGGCGGGGGCTGGTCCACAGACAAGGCTGAGCAGTCCCAGTTACACTGCCCATGGGAACAGGGCCACGCTGACCTCAGCCTGGGCTGTCCCTCACCCTCCTGTGCCCATGCAGGGCAGAGGGCACAGCCATTTGCACAGCCAGGAAGGAGGGTGGCTGTGCTCAGGTTCCCAGGACAGTGTCCATTTTAGAGAGGGACCCTCTCAGCTGGGGATTGGGGTCCACCCCCCTAGGGAAAGGGTCTGGCCAGGGCAGGGCAAGACACCTGGATCCCTGACAAGCAGGCTAGGGGTCATGGCTGGACTTCAGCCCCAGTGTGGAAACTAGAGTGATGGGAGGGAGCCCAGCCAGTGCAGCAGGGAGGGGAGCTCACACTCAGGCACCAACCGAAGGCAAGGAGACAAACTTGCCTTGACTCCTCCAAACTTTCAGTGGCTCCTCCACATGGAAAGATCAGGGGTGCCAGCCATGCTAGTCAAGAGGAGGTGCAATTCATAGACACAGCCACAGGGTAGCGCAGTGAGGACCTCACCGGTTCAGGGTTTCAGGAGGGGATTTCAGGTCTGGGAGAATCCAAGTTTCTGGATGACTCTGGAAAACTAAGGGCTGTTGGCTAACCTCCCTTTCCTCTCTTTTTATTACTCTATTTCCAGAAACACTCACAGTTTTGATCTTTCCACAGTGATGTTTTGGGGGTAGGCATGGGAAGGAGTAAAGA